TCCACCCTGCTTTCTCTGCTGCCCCATCAAGAGAGAGAGGTCAGGCCTCCAAGGTTTGAACTCCTTAGAAAGCAAGCTGGTAATTGGAAGCCAAGTGCCTGCTCCACCTCCCAGACACCGGTGGGCTAATCTGCGGCCACAGGGCTCCTGTACCTGCCGGGGATGCTCATCAGCCTCAGGAAGTCTGGGCTGGGAGAGGCAGGGGGAAGGGGAAGGGAGAAAGTGGGGAATAAAGAGTGAGTATGATGCTGGCTCTGGAGCTCACACAGGGTCTCTGAGGGGCTCATCTCCCCCTCCAGGGTCCAGGGGAAGTGGTCTCCGGGCGTCGGCTCTCAGTAGGGACTGACTATGATGAGGGGAAACTCTGCTTCTTGGTGGGATTCTTACCCCAGATTTAGGGCCTGGGGACTTGGGGTCTGTGGGGGAAGTGGGGCAGGCTGGGGAGGATAATAGGTTCCTGTCACAGCTGTCAGGGAAACAGAGGCAGGGCGGGAGATGCCCCTACAGGCATCCCTACCTTGAGGAACTTGTAGAGCAGGAAAGTGAACCAATTGGTCAGCATCTTCTCAGCCACCGATTCCGTCCTGTCACCAGTCACCAAGGGACCCAACAGAGCAAGACAAAGACAGAAACACCAGTCAGACCCCAGGACCGGGACGGCAGCGAAAATCTTCGTGGTTCTGGAGGTTTAAGACTTCCAGGCTAAATCTTGAGAATCAAAGAATACGTGAGTTCTGTGGACGCAGAGACCCCCTGAATGGGATGAGCTTGGTCTGCAAAGCTGGGAGGTGGCTTCCTGGGCTCAGGCTCCTGGTGGGCTTTGGGGGGAATGTGTTTGAGCCACCTGGGCCCCTCATGAAAACTCAATCCACGCAAGTGACCACTGAGTCCTTTCAAATATGGTGAGTGAGGTTTTTAATTTTATTGAGCTTTTATTAATTTAGACTTAAATAGTCAGGTGTAGTTAGTTTTCATATTAGATGGTTCAGCCTCAGCAAACCTTATAGGATAGGACAGGCCAGGACTGGGCAGGGTGGGGCAGGCTAGAGGAGGGGAGGGCAAGGAAGGGTGGGGTAGGCGTGTGTGCCTTTGGGTGAGAAAAGGGTGTGGGAAGATACTAACTGGGTAGGGAATGAAAAGGAGGGTCTCAGAGCTGTTGGTCATGGGGGAAAGTTGAGCCAGACCAGACAGAGCCCCTCACCAAGCTCAGGGCCCCTAGAGCTGACAGCAATGAGGAGCCGGGTCCCCAGTCATTCCCAAGAGACTTGGCCTACCTTGTCCCATCTCTCAGGTTTCCAAATACTTTGGAAATTCCTGAGAAGCCTTCTAGGACTTCACTCGCAAGGCCAGGAAGTCCCTTCTCGAGTCTAGCTTGCAGCTTTCACACTGCCACCCAAGCCCATTTACTCCTCGACTTGGAAAGTGAAGACACCGTGGCAGCGTTACTGGCCACGGAGACTTCCTTCAGCGATATCCATTTAGAGGCAACAAACTCCATTCAAACGTGCACCAAGCACGTGGCCAGCTTGAGAGCGAGCGGCCCGTGCGGCATGTTGGCTAGAGCCGAAGGTTGCAGTTGCCAGAAGATTCTAATAACTGAAATCCCACTGCAGCCAGCAGAAAATGAAGCTGAAATGAGAAGAGGCGGGGGGACTACTGAAGGAAGGGGCAGCCAGGGCAAGAAGAAAGGGAGGTGGAGGCGAGCCGAAGAGAGAGAGGGCATCTGGGAGGGAGCCGCGGAAAACCGGAGGAGGAGCCACGAGACACAGAGCGGGACCACGCCGGGAAATAGTCGGTGGGAGCTCTGGCAGGCGGTGGGAACCTAGCATCATGCCAGCAGGTGGCTGCGTGGTGGAAGTAAAACAAAAATCAAAACACTCTACCTTGCTGTTTCCGAAGCTGTATGATTGCTGCTGTATGTAGCAACCTTTGCAGCTGCGCCAGTGGATGTCCACGGCACCAGGAAAAAGCCTGGAGTAAACACCTTGGACAGCCAAGTCTCTCCCGGCCCACGCGGGAGGCCTGGCCTCAGACACAAGAGCCAGGGCGGAAGGCAGGGCCTGGCCGAGCGCAGGTAGCTGGGCAGGCCTGGAGGAGGGCTGTTGCCACGACCTGGCGTGGGAGGTTTTCAGACTTATCTGCAGGTGGGCCAGAGACACTGGGATAACAGCTACAGGAGACGTGGCCTTCAAGGTCAAATAGGGAGACTGTCTCCTATGAGGCCAGAGTCCCTGGGTATGCTTGTGTTTTCACATGTGACCAGTGGAGTTTCAACTGTGTAGAGGGGTGAGGTGTCCCACAGATCAGCAAGGGCATGGGCGACCCTGGAAGCTCATAGCTCGCACCTAGAGACACAAGTTGCCCCTGAGGGATTTAATTCACACGGACTGGAGGTGCTTCTCCAACCCGAAGATGCATACAAAGCACCCAGGTTTCTCCCAGGAATGCAGATTCTAGACTCACAGCAGTGTGGGGCTGACCTGAGATTCTACATTTCCAATAAGCTCCAGGGTGATCTGTGATGGTACTTACTTTTAATTGATTTACATGGAAATGAATGCAGAGAGAGGGCTGTGTGAGGGAAGAGGCCAGAAGGGCCCTGGGGTGTGGGTGGGGATCTCTCCTAAGCCCAGCTCTGGCTTAGAGAAGGCTGGGGATGGGAGAAGGATCCCAAAGAGTCCACGTGAGAATGCCTGCAGAGAAAGTCAAACCAAAGAAGGAGGGCAGAAAGAAAAGAGACGTGGAGAGACAGAAGCACCACAGGCGAGCAGATGGTGGTCGTGGCCAGGCAGCCCACGGACAGATTCGTCCCTCCGGGTCTGGCATGCCCCGGCTCCTCTGAAAGGCTGGGGAGCTGGTTGGAGGAGGGAGCTGGCTGGTTACCTTCTGAGCAGCAGCTTGGGGTGGTTCCGGTTCTCCAGGTTCTTGTCGATGAGGTCGGCCAGCAGCTGCTTGAGCACGTCCGTGGCGTACTCCAGGCGGCCCTGCAGGCCGGTCATGATGAGCGAGGCCACGTTGCCGCGGTCGCGCATGGAGAAGCTGCGCTGCAGCTCGAGCGTGCGGATGAAGGTCAGCAGGAACACCTTGTTGTTGATGAGCTGGGCGAAGAGCTTCAGGCCTTTCTCCACCCGCTCCTGCCGGTAGCCCGGCACCTGCGGAGGAGACCAGGGATGGTGGGTCCCGACTCCCATCTGTACAGGGGAGGCCAGCTGAGCCCCGGGGAGCCCGACACCCGACTCCCTCAGAGTTGGTGCACCTTGGGGACCCGGCCTGTGCCGTCAAGTCTGTCACAGCCCCTGCCACTGTCACCGTCTCTAATTCAGAGATGAGTCAGCTGAGGTGCAGAGAGAACATCACTGTTAGTAATGGCGGTGCTGGAAGGTGAACCCACTTCTGCCAGACACTCTCAGGGGAATGCAGTTGGTGGTGGAGGGGGGCGTGGCAGGGCCCGACCAGCACTCACACCCTCCAACCACCCGCTTTGAGCTCCAGGAGGCCAGGCTGCTGTAGGTTACACACCACTTGAAGGATCCCCAGGTCTGAGCTGACCCAATGCTGACCCGTCCAGGCCTCAGCAGTCCCGCCAACAGAATGGGGCCTCTGAGTCAGGACTTCTGGCTCTACCTGGGCTCAGAGCTGCCATTCCCTGGACACTGGACAAGTCCTTTTACTTCTCGGGCCCAAGTTCATTCACCTCAAGTATAAGGGGTCACTTCAGCTGCCTCAGGCTCTCCCTGACTCTGGTCTAAAGGTCTCTGAGGGGCTTCGAGATCCCACTCTAGCCAGGCGAGGGGCACAGGAAGGTTTTGTCTTTTTGCCTGCGTCTTCCCTCTGCGGGGAGAGCTTTGTAAGGGTGCCTGGGTGAGCACCCGCCAATGCTATGGGCCAGGGACCCCGCTGGGTGGGGAGCAGGCATCTCTGAGAGGCACAAAAGAGGTTCAATGTGCAGTGAGCCTCCAACTGTCCGGAGGCAACACACAGCTCCAGGATCCGCAGTCTCTTGGCCCCATGGAACACCTAAGCACTGGAAACTAAGGCCCTGCCGCCCGCCACAGCCACAGGGAGGCGTCTTGCCAGCGGGACAACGTGGGCTGCAGAATGCCTGTGAAGGTCTTCAGGGAACAGTTACCCCGACTCAGCGGTGTTAGAAAGCGGCTTTTCTGGGGGCGGTTGCGACTGCAAGGGCCGCAGTAAATACAGGGGACATCTGCAGGGCTGGGGACATTGTGCCTCTTGCCCTGGAGGCTTCTTGATGGTATTTGCACTCCGGGAAAAGCATGGAGCTGAGTTCAGAAAATGTGTGTGCGCTTTAAAACAAAAGATTTACTTAAAAAGTAACATACAGAGGGGAGCTGTTGGAGCACACGGAGCAGGCCCTTTCTGGGTGACAGGGTGGCGGGGGGAAGGGGCTGGGGGCCATGGAGACACCTCACGAGGGATGCACCTGCCCCGTGGGGTCTTGGGGAAGGAGTATTGAGTGTGTGGCAGTCAAGAGCACAGTTTCAGAGCCAGTCAATCTGCGGCTCACTAGTCATTTACCAGTGGGGGGTCCTTGACAGGCAGTTTCTGCATCAGCAAAATGAAGGTGTTTGCTTTAGAAGCCCCACCCCGTCCATACCTGACACCCTCTTGCTACCTGGGGCTCTGTGGCCACAAGCAGCAGCTTCCCCAGCAAGGTCAGGCCAGGCCAGGAAGCCCAGCAGGGTGCCACCCCTCCCCCCCCACCCCCGCTGCCCTGGGGGCTCTCGTGAGCACCAGGGAAGGCGAGGGGAGAAAGCACAGTCTCACATGTGGCCCAGATACGAGCCATTCTTTTAGCCCAGAGGTTCTAAACTGGGGAAGATGGAGGCAGAAAGCCTGATGTGTGGTTGGTCCAAGAAGGTGGGAGACCCAGAGTCAGGAAGTGGGTGCCACTCATTTCCAGAGCCCCTGGTTCCGGCCTTGGGTCTGCCCTGGCTGGGGCAGACCTGTCCCATGCAGGCCCAGCTCTCCTCTGTCAGTCACTCTGGAGCAGCTCCTGCGTCTCTATGTCCCGCAGCGGCGGGAAGGCCGTGTGCTCACCGCTCAAGTCTCTCGCCAACCCCAGCCACTTGGTCTCAACTGCTGCCGAAAGTCTGGAAGCTGAGAGTGGGTGCGTGTTCCTGAGCCAGGTACCTTGCTGCAGAGCTGGGGCTTGGAAGGCCGCGTGGGAAGGCAGTTCTCAGAAGCGATGGGAACATGCCAGAACCCAGTGGGGACAGCCAGGGCCCCCTGCCGATCATTCTGGCTGATGGCACTGCTGTTACTGAAGAACCCATTGTTCCCCGAGAGCTGTTCTCTCTCTTTCCTGGCATCCCAGGTTCCCCACCCCAGGGGGTTAGGGAGGGAAGGACAGGTGGCCTCATTCATGCTCAGAGTGGTCTGTCTGCCTAACTGTCTGCCTGCCACTCTCCCCCCCCTGCCTTTGGGAGTGCCCCCTCACACATGAGACATGTTTGAGCCTGCTCCTGCTCTGTCCTCCAACCCCCTCAGGAGACACCTCTATAATTCATTCTTTTAAAAAAAAATATTTATTTACGCATACTGGGGTACTGGGGTACAGGGCAGAGGTGCAGGGGGTGGTGAGAGGATTCACCAGAGACAGAGCGGGGAGCAGAACAGGCCGACTGTCAAAGTACACTGCTGAGGGGAGCAGCAGCCGGGACAGGAGAGGTCTGCCGTGCCATGTGGGTCACTTCTGGGGCGGGGGATCAAACTTGCATTGAAGTGGCTGAGGCTGGCTTGCAGGGCTGCGCTTTAACCTGCTGTGCCACAAGGAGGGCCCTACAATTCATTCTAATGATGAATTCTTACCCACCTACTGTGTGCAACACAGGATGCTGGCACACTGCATAATTTGTGCCAACTATACTCTGAATGACCTGGCAAGACGCTCAGAGAAGCTACTGCAGCTGAACCAGGCCAGCCAGCCAGTGAGGGCAGTGGGAGATTTCCAAACCCAAATCCCACCCGACCTCCCCATCCTTGGCTGCGTCCAGGAGGACCCGAGGAGGTAACTGAGTCATCTCTGAGCGCCCCCTAGTGCCAAGAGCAGGGCTTCTGGCACTTCAGGTTAGCCATTGAGGGGGGGTTGGGGGGGCCTGAGAGGAGGGCAAAGACTCAGGGCTGATCAGAAAGCACCCGGGGAGAGGATGTGCTCGAAGCCTCCCAGGACCCTGGAGAGAAAGATTTAGCCAAGTCACAAGCGGGAAAATTGCACCCCGGTCGGTTGGTAGCTTGGGATTTGGCATCAGAGAAATGAACTAACTTATACTTGGAGAAAAGCTCCCTCACCTCAGGGCTCTATTGCCTCATCTGTAAAACGAGAATATGAGTGCCTGTGTCATAATGTTTTATGAACATTAAATAAGATAATGTATGTGAAGCGTTTGGCACACACTCCGCACACTTAAACAGCAGCAGGTTTATGATCTGCTTTTTCCTACTCCATTGGCACAGATTAGCCCGAGTCCCTGAGATAGCTAATGCACCGGTACCGTGTCTCGGGTGCGGAAGGTAGGAATTTTCGCCCCGTTTTATGAAGGGGGAGATGGAAGCGAAGTATCGTGGTAAAGAGTATCAGAACAATTCCCCTTTGTAGCTTGCCACCCCACCCCCTAAGCAAATGCCACTCTGGAACAAGACTTTCTTTATTCACCAGATGGTTTGATAATTTAGTTGAAGTCTGTGAATATAAAACTGGATAGTAAATTTTAATTGTAACCCAATAGGTTGAAGCTTAGGAGGCGATGATGGGTTGAAGCTGGAGGGTGGGAGGGGGGTGTTAGCTCTGTTTTGAATGGATTGGTGTATGACCTCTGCCTGGGCAGCCCTTTCCCAAATGTCCAGACTTCCCCCACTGGGCCCGGAAGAAAGCCTGGTGGTCTGCTTTCCAGGACAGTCTGCAGCCAGAGGGCATCGTCTGCACACACAGGTATCAGAGTATCCATGAAGACCAGGCAACATTGCTTTGGCTTGACCAGTGGTTTCTCTGGGCTGTCTCTAGAGACAACAGGAATAACTCTTCTGGGGGCAGGATGGCACTGGGAACAAAGGAGAGAAGCTGGATTCACACAAGACCTCTGGATCTTGCATCAGAGGCTCAATCTCACATAACCCCAGGCCAAATGTGGGACAGCAAAGGTTCATTTCTGTCTGCAAGCATTGGATGAGTTTAATGGAAAGGAAAAAGTCACCTGCCAGGCATATGCCCCAAAGACTGGAAGCAACAGTTATCTGCATGCCCACATTTGTAAGAGCCTTATTCACAGTCACTAACAGTTCAACTTCAGTGTCCTCTGACAGATGAATGCATAACCAAGATGTGGCATATACAGGCAACAGAATACCAGTCAGCCTTGAAAAGGTTGGTGAACCTTAAAAAGGAAGAGAAATCACCCAGTCACCAAAGGAAGACAATGCTGCTACTTCTATGAAGCAGCCAGAATTATCAAACTCACAGAAATAGAAAGGCGGGGGGGAGACAGGGCTGGGGTTGGGGGGGGGGACGACAGGGGAGCTGCTGTTTTGTAGCTAGAACTTCAGTTTGGGAAGATGAACAAGTCTGGGAGAAGGACAGTGCTGATGGTTGCAGACACACAACATGGTAAGTTTGTGTTCTGCATGGTAAGTTTGTATTTCCTTAGAATTAAAAAAAAAAAAAAAAAAAACAGCCATGTAACCCACTTGATTCAGAGCTGGTGCCTGACGATTAGTCAGCAGCTGGGCTCCGCACAGGCACAGAGGTCAAGCTGGCTGCTAACTCTCTGGTGAGCAGGAGAGGGGGCGGGGAGTTTCCCTTCATGATTTAATCTGAGGGGGAATTTCAGTGTCAACAAAGGACATGATGTGGCCACAGGAATGCTTTGGGGCGTGTCCCGGAGAGCATCTAGGGACTCCCACTGGCCAGTCAGGTGGGCATCAGAACCCAGCAGTCCCCATTCTCAGGGGTCTCCTTTCAGAGCTGCCAGGGCCTGAGTCCTCCTACATCCCTGATGGACACAGAAGGAGAGCCAGTGACCCCTGGTGACACAGGGCTGTGTGTCCTCCTGCGTGTCAGCCCTGGATGGGCAGTGTCTCCAGAATGAGAAGAGGGCTCAACAAGGACTTGTGAGACTTTCTGGGCAGAAAGATAAGTTTGCTGTCATTCCTGTCATTCCAGAAACCTCCCTTTGGGGGTGCGTTAAATGCTGGGGAACAATGCCAGCAGGGCCATGGTAGTGGCCAGAGAAACAGGGGCCTGACTCTGCCTTGCATGGAGGAGAATGGGCATGGGGGGATCCAGGCTTCCTTCCTGTTTTTCTTCTTGAGCCTGGCTTGCCCAGCAGGCTCTGGGCCTGGCACCTTGCTGAGGAATAAAGACTCAGAGTTGGGCAGCACGGTCCTATCTTGCTGCTCTCAGGAAACTGATCTTAAGGGGAAGCCTGGAGCAATGCAGCTAGTTGGGGACCCCGAGAGCTTTCAGCACAGTCGCTGGCATAGTTCATAAGTGCAATGAGGAGTTTTCTGGTCCCGAGTGAGCAAGGCTGTACAGTGAGGTAGGCTGTGCACTGAACAAATCCATGGTTCGCACATAGGAGCAGTAGCCTCCAGCCTGCAGACACCTGAGATCCCGAGGAAGGGGCACGCCTGTAACTCTGCTGCCACTGCCCTGGGCAGCCCTTGGGAGCATACTGGCCTTGGTATGTGCTAAGCCAGGGCCAAGCCAGACTGAGAGTCTGAGGACTTAGAAAGTGCATATGGGAAGGCCATGGGATACACAGGATCAAATGAGGAATATGCTGCGTGATGCAGATCAAAGGGATGATCTGAAAAGTTTGGAAGCTGTGTGTGTCCACCAAGAGAATGGGGAGTGGCTGACCCCGGGCTGTAAGGATGTCAGCTTTGAAATGGCCTCAGAAAATCTGATGTCGGGCCTTGCTATTGGCACAAGAGGTTAAGTCTCACCATTATGGAGCTCTCCACAGCCACTGCAGCATGAGCTCGATCCCCAGCCAGTGAGCTGACCCACATGGCGTGGCAGACCTCTCCTGTCTTGCCCGTTGCTCCCCTCAGCAGTGTACTTCATCCATCTGCCTGTTCTGCTCCCAACTCTGTCTCTGGTGAATCCTCTCACCCCCTGCAACTCTGGTTTGTACTTCAGTTCTTGTATGCATAAATAAATAAATAAATCTTAAAGAAGAATTACATATTCTTTAAAAAAGGAAAATCTGATTTAAAATGTATGTGCTTAAGGGAATCTACTTGGAAACTGAGCTAATGAAAAACTAAATAATGCTATATGCTCATCCTAGTTGAAGCCTTATGGCTTTTCTCCATCTTGCCCACAGAGGGCCATGGGATGTCTGAACACAATTTCCCTTCTTAAGACCACTGTTCCATTCGGCGTCACACACGCACAGACGTTATTCTATTCAAATCATTCAGCATTTCCTGCATACCTACTCCGTGCCAAGCATGGCACTGGAAGCCAGAACTACAAGGATAAACTAGGTCTGGGCACAGTTTACAACTCCTCCCACCCAGTAACCCCCCCAACCCCCACCCCCCCCACACACACACCTTATCCCTCTATCATTCCTGTGTCTCTCTTTTGGTAGAAGCTTGCTTACTTGTCGAGGGTTAAGTGTGCTGGGATTTTGAGACAAGTAAAGACAAGATGAGAGAAAAAATAAAGGGGAGAGAAAAATGAGGGAATGGAGGAGAAGTCAAGGAGAGCAGAGACAAAAGAAGTGGACAGATAGAAATATTATAATACAGACGATGTTTTGTTTGTATACAGTTCCTTGACTCGTGTGAGGTGACATCCTCAGAAGTCTATAGTTAGTTGAAAATATCGTAAGTCAAGAGTGCATGCCATACCCCAACCGACTGGACACAGTGTAACCCAGCCCACCTTCAGTGCGTTCAGAACGCTTAAACATTAGTTGGGCAATGCTGTGTGATAGGGTTGGACAGCTCATGTCACTTATTGAAAATTATACTGATGGGAAACCCAAGGGGAATGCAACTGAGATGAAAAAATGCACACAAATATGTAAAAATAAATTATTAGATAAAAAAGAAAATTATACTGAAGGTATAATCAGAATGGTGGCAGAAGTTCTCATCATTGACATATACAGCTGAGAGAACACTGCCCATGAAGAATGAGCTAACTAGTATTAACTGTTGGGTGATGAGGGTGCTGTGATGACTGCTTCGTTCATCTCTCTCTTTCCTGATGATTTTCAAGAAAGTCTGGTAGAAGGCTGCTTATCCTCATGACAACATCAGAAGGCCAACTGGGAGCTGCAGGTCACTGCCCTGGCCCCACATCACAAGAAAGTAGAACATAGATCACCAGCCCAGGAAAAGCTCAAAACTCAAAGTTGGGTTTCTACTGAATGCATATTGCTTTTGCACTTTGCTTTTGCTTGAAGCAGAAAAGCCATATGTTGATCCATTGTAAGTCGGGGAACCATCTATATCAGCCATGCATGTACACTCTTGTACATGCACACACACACAGACACATGGAGACAGTGGGGCTTGTTACAGGTGAGCACGGGAGGCCTCTTGGGTTCGACCCACCGAAGACAGAAATGCACGTGTCCTCACTATGGAAACATACACACTTCACTCGACAATCGAGCATGGAGAAATATGTGCGAACCCAAAGTCTCTGGGGACTCGGCTTTGGCAGACCCATGTCATCATTGCCTGGGGTCACTCTCTGTGAAGCCACACCATGGCTGAGCAATGGGTCTGCTTTTATTTCATGAACAATATAATCCCTGGCATCGGTCCTGCTTTTTGTTGTTGCTTAGCTCGACATTTGATCCGTCCTAATGAGCACCACCGACTCGGCCCACAGGTCACAGGCTCATCATCAGGAGTAAAGACTCTGGAATCTACCTGCCCGGACTCGAGTCCTCCCAGCCATATGGCCTCGCACAACCCCTGGCTGTCTGTGTGCCCTCAGCCCCGCCACCAGAGAATGGGTGTATCTACTTTGGAAGGCTCTTGGAAGACTAAATGAATGCACGCACACGAGCTTCTTAAAACCACACCAGGATATAGTTGGCAGTCAACTAATAATGATCATTCTTTATGATCATTATTTTGCCCTGCTTTTCTCATTTATGTTTCACTTTTCTCTGGTATTTGTCTTGATAAGTCATTCCACTCCCTTTCGGAACAAAGCGTAATATGAATATATGCATAAGCCAGACAGCACGCTAGACAGTAAGTGGGATAAAATGTTCAAAAGATGAGGTCCCTGCTGGTACCAAAGACAGTTAGGTTTTATCATTCATATTTCTATCTCCACTTATCTTTCCACATATATTTACTGAGCACCAATTAAGTGCGACAGCCCTTATATTGTGGTTTCTTAAACAAGGATCTAGTGAACTTCTTATGCTCACTTGCTGGGTTTCTTCTTTCGGTGGGTTTGTAGAGGTTTTCAACTTCCGTTCACTCTTCCGGGGATCTGCGACCGCCCCAAGGCCCAAACCCCTATTCCCAGCTCTGCAGTGAGGCTGCCTCCTCACTGTGACAGTCCGCAGCGCCCAGAGGCCCCTTGAGCAGGCTGCTCTCTGCCCCTGGCCTTGGTTCCAGGGGAACTTGGACCCGAGGTCCCCAACAGCTTTCTCTGTGCAAACACGGAGATGGGGCAGAGGCTTGGCTACACGTACTGCTTCTCACCTCGAGGTCCCGGAGGACAGGGTGGTCTTCAATTCCCGGGAACAGCACCCGCATGGTGTAGGTTCTATAGTCCAGGAAGGGAATCCCAGCTCCATCCAGGTCACTGGTCAGCTCATGGATGTCTGTCTGGAGCTCGGCGAAGGCTGGCACAAAGAGAAGGCCGTGAGACTTGGGCAGCCAGCCCCAAAGCCAACCCACCTCAGACGCTCAGAACCCTTGCCCAGATCCTGGAGATGGGGGTGGGGGAGGAGGAGGGAGGGGAAGCCTGCAGATGTGTAGTATAAAAGGGGCTGGGGGCGTTTAAGGCAGCCACAGGGGGTGAACGCAGGCACAAAAAGACAAGTGCAGGGTATCTTGTCTTGGGCCAAATTCCTCCCAAGCATGATGAGGGAGTAGGGGTGAAAGAGGCTGTCCCCAGATCTGGACAGGTGATGAGTTTTTTTGTTACTGTTTTCACAGTGTGCTGGGGGAAAGGGGAGATGTGTAAAGTTGGGGGGAAGAAGGAAAAGGCAATTATTTTAGAGTAAGACTGAACATCATGTACATTTGAAGTCCCAAAGCCCCACGCAGCTCGCTGGGGTATCAAACCGTCACAAGAGGCTCTGCCCCAGGCAGCTTCCGCCTGTGTAAGCAGGCAAGGTGCGCCTCCGGCCTGCCTTCTGCCCATCAATTCTGCCATGGACACTGCTGTCTGGCCAGCTCAGGCCTTCGCACAGACCCAGTGACTAAGGCGTCCATGCCACCCCCCACCCCTTGCCCTAGGAAACCCCAGCTTGCCAGGGTGCTGCACCTGTGCTTTTCTGCCACGCCTCTCTCCTAGTTCAAGTGCACATGTATGTTGCACGCACACACATGTGGTGTACATAACACATGTATATACACACACACAACCAGGGTGAATGAACAGACACTGGCAAAGAAGCACTGTCAGGGGACACTGACTAAATGATTTCTTTTTATTTCTATAAATACAAGACAGTACTTCCTAGGATCAGAAGACATTTACAAGCCCACTTAGCTCAAGGGGCCTTGAAAACCAGGCCCTGTGCCCAGTGCAGTGGGCTCTGCTGACCACAGGCACACACCAGCAGCCACGCCAGCCCCAAAATATTGCCACACAGAGGCCCCACTGTACCCTGCAGGGCTGGCGTTAGCCCTAAGGACCGCCCTGTTTCTTAGTCAAGAGAATCCATTTGCCCTGGTCCCCAGAGAAATTGCTGCAGACTTCTGTGATGCTCTTTGCCTGCACCCCTGTACCTCCCAGTCGCACTGACACCGGGACTCATATCGAGGACCCTGGCTCTGAAGGCAGAGTACCCCTAATTTGCCCAAGCAGAAGTTACAGCAACATGCCTACAAACCCTTGCGTGTGAAAGGGAGTGGGCAAGACTGGTATATACTGTCCCCCAAAGTTCCTGACTAACATTTATGTGTGAGCTGAACAAAACAAGCAGGGGTGAGTATGTCAGGGCACATATGTGTTTGCCAATCAAAGGGCTGGGCCTCCCCCCAGCGTGGAGATAAGGTTCCGTTCACCATCTCAGCGCAAATGTCCCTGGGTCTTGACCTACCCTGCCCTGCAAGCACACAAGAGCCAGCTCTAGGCACCCCTAGAAAATGCCCTTTGCTGGATGCCTCTATCTCCCCAAAGCCAGACGCCAAGCCCCTCCTGGTCCCTCCAGAAAACTCAGGCCGGGCTCCCCGTTTGATTGCTAATTTCTCCTCTGAAATACCACCGAGAGGAATCGGGCTCTCACACACTCCTCTCCCAGTTGGGGTGCTCAGCTGATGGGAGGAGGATGGGGAAGCTGGCTTTTTATCGGTCTGCAGCTTCCCCTTAAGTCACCACGTGCCTCCGACATTCAAAGCCTGGTGCCTGCCACACATAAAAGAGATTCTAATCACTACACCTAATTAGAGGGAAGAGTACATTGCAGAGAAAAAAATTAAGCAGCGTAAATATAATAAAAGGCAGTAATTAACAGTCCCATGAGGCGGATGCTGTGTTGACAGCTGAAGGATGCGGGAGGGGAAGGAATGGACCCACTTCCCCAGCAGGAAGAGCGGGGCTTCCCTGGTGGGCACTGAGCGCCCCAGGTACCCCGGATTCATGCTGCATCCACACCGACAGCTGAGAGGCAGCTCAGACCCACCCAACACTGTCTGGGGGTGACGACAGCTGACTCCTAGCTCCCCTTGTTGGCTGTAACATGACTGATTCTACTCGTAGTACCACTTGAGAATTTTTAATTTTTAAAATATGATCCATGAGACACTTGTTTATAAATCTCAGATCTGCCGACAGCCTTCCCTTCCTGCTCCAGGAAGGGAGCTGCCGAGGGCTTGGATGTGTCATGTCAAGACACTCCAAGGTCTCCCCCAGAGGAGAACATCTACCCAATGGGCCAGTGTTCAGGGCTGGAAACTGCCTGAGTAGGGTTCAAACTCCCAGTCTGACTTGGAAAAAGAGGGAAGAGGACACATGAGGGAGAAAGAGAGGAGACCGGAGTGGAAGCACGGAAGGGCGCTGGTGCAGGTGCACGCGCATGCGCACGCGCACTCACCTGCGCACGCATGCGCACACCCCCACTGGGGCCCAGCCCGGCCTCAGTACCTTCCTTGCACTCCAGGGCCACGCGGGACTCCAGGTTGTCCATCTGCATCTGCAGCCGCTTCAGCGTGAGGTCGCTCTCGCGGGACTTGCGCTTGTAGGCGATGAGCACCGCCACGATGAAGATGATGAGGAGGCCGCCTGCCACGGCGATGCTGACAATGGCCGGCAGGCTGAGCGGGCTGTCCGGGGCGATGTACACCATCCCCGGGGAGTACTCCATGCCGCCGACGCGGGCCTGCGGGGCACCAGAGAAGAGGGGGCTGCGTGGGGGACAGAACTACCAGGGAACAGTTCTGAGTCCCGAGAAACGGGTGAGCAGAGCCGGTAGAAAGAAACTGCTCAAAAGGACAGTCATCGTGGATGGTCAGAAAGAGCTGAGAGGGCCCCCTTGGGGCTGAGGCAGGGGGTCTTCAGGCTCTGCAGAGGCCACCCCACAAATGCAAACGCCCCACTATTGCAAGCGCCGCACAAATGCAAGGCGTATTCTCTTAATTCAGGAGGAAACAGTACACAATGGGAAGCTAAAAATGTCTGACTTCAGCCACTGGCTCCCCAAGTTTCAACCCATTCTAAGGGTGACTGACAGGCACAGAACGTCACATGCTGGACCTCCCCGAGCCCACAGAGGTTTCTCCTGGAAGTGCCTCTTGCTCGGAGCAGGCGATTTAACACATCATTAAGAGTGCAATGACAGCCCTCACTAGTGCCAGGCAGTCTGAAAGATTGACACTGCAGGAGAGAGGCTTGGAAGTGGGGCGGGGAGACAGAAGGGGGTCTCCAGGAGGAAGGTCTGCAGCGGTCAGAGGCTCTGCTGGAAGGTCCTGGTGGCCAAGGGCAGAGCTGACCATCCCCGCCCTACATCCCCAGGGCCAGCTGCATCCCAGGACGGGGTCCCCAAGCCTCACCATCACTTTGTGCCTGCCGATGAGGTTGGGGGACTCGCAGAGCAGCTGCACATCTGAGACCGTCACGGTGCACGGCTTTTCCCCGACCAGTACTGTGTAGTTCAGCTTCACGTTGCCCCCAGCCACGGGCGGGATCAGGTTCTTGCCCTGGTGGGACAGGAAAGGCTCGGAGCCCACGCCAGGGCCAGTGCCACAGCTTGGGCTGGCTGCCATGATCCCCACCCCCATCCCCAAAGGCCTCCTGGGAGCTGGAGGAGAGGCCACCTTCTGTGCTAAGTCCAAAATGTGCAGCATGTACCACCCTTTCCTACCCGGGAAATCAATATTCAAGGCCTCCTCTCGTTTAGCCAAATGCAGCCTCAGAAGCCTTCTTAGCACAGAGCGAGAGTCAGACACTACATTTGACTCAAATTGTCACGGGAGTTAAAATGAAATTGCTCTCTGTGCTCCAGAGGCACTCTCTGCCATGGGTTGCTGCCCAGGAAGAAGCAGAATGAATCTTTGACCTCTAGAGTCCTAGACGTAGGTGACTGAGCAAGAAGCTTGGCAGCCAGGTGGCCTGGGCCGGCAGGTTGC